CTCTTAAAAATGTGATCCATAAAGCTGTAACACAATCCTGTGAGGTGCTTGTTAAAAAGTGCAGATTCCTAGACTCCAAACCAAACTTACTGAATCAAATTCTTTGGGAGAGAGGCACAGGATTCTGCATTTTAAACAAGTTCCCTGGAAAATGCTTATGTAGACTAAAGTTTGAAAGCCACTGTTGTGAAAAAATATTTCACATCATGGAAAATAGTAGATAAGAGTGAACTTTGGAGCCATAATGCCTGGGTTCAAATCCAGCCTCTGCCATTTAACAGCAGTGTGACCTGGGGAAGGAATACCAACTTTCTGTGCCTAAGTTTCCTCAAGTGGTCAATGAGAATAATAATAGTATTTATTTCTTATGTTGTTGTGAGGACTAAATGAGTTAATACATATGTAAAGTGCTTAGAATAGTGTCTGGCACACAGTAAGCACTATATGAATGTTAAAAAAAGGAAGAAATATATAAAAAAGGATATACAATATAATTATTTTTGTAAGAATATATAATACAGATGACTTTACATACAAACATACACAAACAAATGACATCAGAGTATTATCTCTGGATTATGTGATTATTGTTAATTTTTCTTTTTTGATTGTATCCATCTAATTTCCTATAATGAAAAATATCTTTGTTATTAGGAAAGAGTTCTTGAAAGTAATTTATGGTTTATTTCACTTATTATGTTCATACTTCTTAAGGTCCTCTTAATATTATAGATGACACCTTGCTACAGGAAAGAAACTCCTTAGAGCAAATTGTACAGGATACTGTACATTTACTAACATGGAAAACAGTGAAGCAGTCTCTACTTGATAATGCACGTGTTGCAATATGAACAGCTGCGGAGAGTGACCAAGACTTCGTGGGAGTAGGCACACTTCTGGACTACTCCCTTGTTTCCAGCTGTCAGGAGGGAGATACTTTTCAATGGAGGTTCATTACTATTGTTGTGGGAACTCACAGGCTCTCCCTGAAATGTCCACATTGGAATCAGTCTGGAAGCAAATACACTTTCAGGTACATAGTCAAGAGAGATATTGAGGGTGAGGCAGCCCACTC